GGGGGGGGGATTATTTCTCCCCCCAACCCATTGATCCCCCCTTTCTTTCTTCTTTTTCACGGCGCAGGACCGGGCCTATGGAGGCCAGATCGGAATTAGCCTTACTTTGAGGGGTTGAGAAGGAGGGGGGGTAGCACCCCCCCAATTATCACCACACCCGTGCCCCCGTTTATTCTGTCCTGTCCCTCTCCGGCGCCCTGAGTGCCCCGGGTGATGTCTCGGTTTCGTGTGAGGACGCGTGGTAAATCCGTGCTGGCGGCGGGGATACTCACGAGCGGAGGTAGAGGCTAAGCCTCCGCGGAATCATCCCCCCGCACATCGTCGACCACTTGATATTTCATTTTTTCCGTCACCTCAATCAGCGCTCATAGCACTGCTACTGCTGTAGACTTTTGATAGGCCTGAAGCAAGTAGGTTTTGGTCGTTTTGAAAAATGTTAGGGGAGCGGGGTAGGTGTTGCACTGTTTGGCGGGGCGTCAATGATGATTGGTGCTCAAATACGCCCGGGGTGTTAACGATGCTCAAGTATGCCGCAAAAGTTGTTTCTTGTGTCATTCACAGACTCTTGGCTGTTGTTTTTCTACTTTTCTTTTTCGACATGTACCCTAATGGCTGTATGTTTGCACAAAGCGGGCTACAGACCCGCCGGGGCACAAGTGTATCCTGCACGATTATTATCATTGCACGGGGGGTGAGTTGTGCCGAGGGGGTGCCTCGACGATAGAGCGGGCGCTCCCTCCAACGCAATCCAGCACGCGCCAATAAAACACCCACGTGATCGATGGTCATCCGTAGCGCACATATTACATTGTGGGCATATGCGTGCACTCCGCTCCTTTTTCATGATCGTGTGCTGCCCTCTGTTCAATAACTCTCCAGCGGTGCCTTCGTCGTCTGTGTTTTGCCGCTGCTCGCATCCACGCGGGGGCGGTCACGCCGTGACGGGCACGCGGGGGGGGGGGGTCCAGCTCTGGGTTGTGGCCCTTCGCTTCGGTGGGCTGGCCCCAGGAGGAAGGCAAGGACGGGGGAGACCTCTCGAACTTTTATCCCGCAGCGTGTCTGGAGACTGGATACGACATCATCTTCTTCTGGGTGGCGAGGTACGGGGGAGCGCTGGATAGGGTTGCAGGGGGGGGGGAGGTGGTATGGCTTGCGCGTCTCCCGTGGAGAAGTCAATAACCAATCTTGAAGGCGTGTCCTGTGTTGTAGGAGACAGGGGTAAGGAAAGGAGGGTGGTGGGGTATGGCATAGTGCGAGAGGGAGGGGGGGGGGGGGGGCCGGCCCCCCCCCCCCCC